GTTGGGATTAAGAGGCAATATATTTCAAAGGAAATTAGCTAGCAAGACATGCACATTTAACTTTTATGGTTTAGAGATTAAGATATCAAGCTGGAACTTGGGATATCTGGGTTAAAACCCAGCTCTATTCTCAGAACATGCTAGGCAGGTCACATAAGGTAATACTTTTAGAAAGGACTCAGGATTTGGGAGCTTAAATCCAATTGATTTCCAGTATCTTCCTAAGTGTTTAAGGACAAGATTGGCAAAAAATACTGAGGCATCCTAGTGCCCAATATTGTGGCATCAGGTAGTATGTGCTGCAGACCTTGGGAAGAGCAGCTGTGCTTTGGGAAAGCACTTCAGCATGTGAGGAAGCCTTTAGCTGACATCTGGGAATTCCTGGAAAGCATAAGTGTGTTCAGGGCCCATGGTGGCTGTGCATCTCATACCATGGTGCTCTGAGCTTAATGTGGTTTCTAGGTGCAAGCTCAGCACAAATACATAATAGTAAGTGTCAAAGTAGATAGATCCTGTTAGAACTTTTATATCAGTTCCTTGAGGTGTGGATACTAATACTAGCAATCATGCATATTTTGCATATTTAAAATTAAATAAGCTTCATTCTTCAGAATTAAACAGTCAAGGCTTTGTTTCTAGCAAGTGAAGTAAAACACACATTCATTTGCTGGTGGAGCATGTGCCTGATGGGGACCTGACTTGCAGAAGGAGCGAGGGAAACCACTGTCTGCAGGGACGCCTCTCAACTGTATGGCTGTAAATCTGCAGCTGGCTGTCCTGATCCTTTGAAAGAGCAGCCCTAAAGTTCTTTTTAAACCTTTATTAAACCTGTTGGGAAACTACTCTTGTTTCATCTGCTGCCAGGATTACAGATGGTAACGAGTTTGATGAGGCCATTTGAGACCAGCTGTAGCCTGGAAAAAAATTGAGAGTTCCTGAAGTCAGGTGGGCTCCAAGATTGTCCTAGACCTTTGCTTGTTAATCATCCATCCTGGAAATGACAGTTTTTGTTAAGGGTGCTTGTGAGCAGCAACAGCCTGCAGCCTGTTCCAAGAACTCCCTGCTTGCACGAAATGGATGCAGCCACCTTCCCTTGGAAAGACCCCATTCCCCCGCAGGCAGCATGGGAACCAGGCTCACCTCTTCTCTGCTTCCACACCATATCCCCTCTTGCTTGCTTTTGCATGTCTGGGAAACACAGCCCGCAGCAGAGGCATTAGCTGCCTCCATCAAGCTGAGAAAAGACAATTCCATAATGAACAGGGTCATTTGCTAAGTGGGGGGTCCTGGAGCCCAGCCATAATTGTGCTTCTGTTTTATCTCAGCCTCACACCTGCTCATGTAATGGCTTGGCTGTGATCTGTTCCCTCCTCCTGTGCATACTCTGCCCTTCTGCTTCTGGGGTATCCATCAATTCTCTGGCCCTATTACAGTCTCTTGCCTTGCTGTCCTTGTCTGCAGCTTGTGAATGTACACAAATTTGCCCTGAAATTGTGGGAGGGCCAATGAGTTGGCTCTGTGGGACATGACTTCTAACCTGACTTCCATGTCCTAAGTTGCAAGTTTTTAGATGAAACTCTTCTATCCAAAATAACTCCTAGACACAGCATTCTTCATCTATGTTTCTTTAAAAAACCTAGTCATAAGGTATATAAAGATAATAAGGTATATATTATTACTGCCAGAGGGAACATGTGCAGCTTTTTCTTCCACCTGTATGCATTCAGTTCTTGTAAAAATGGCAGGATTGACAGTGTAGGCAATTAAGAATTCTTCAAATCCAGAGCAGATGGAATTTTATCCAATTTATATATGATCTTAACATAAATATACCTTACTGGATTCAAGCCACTGAACCCCCAATTCTTTTAACCTTGGGGGATGTTACCCAGCCTTTTGACAGTTCGATTAGTAACCACTTTGTAAAGGATACATCCCTGTGATACAAGGATGTAGGGTAGTGAGAGATGAAGAAAATCCCAGTTTGACCTCATGTGGCAGGTTCTCTGCATTTTTTCTTCCTTATGGGATCTTACAGCCCAGCAGGCTCTTGGCCACCTTAAATCTTTACCCTTAACAGATCCTTTCTCCAGGCAATACATAAACTTCACATAAAGGTAAAAGTCCTTGTGTCTTGAACACATTTTCTCTTGAGACACAAGTGTCAATAAGTTTGAATTATGGACCTGCTGTAATTAAAAACCACATAACTAGTTGTTTTTAAATGCAGTTGTTTTACTTAATTGATTTTGCCGCCAGGACCAAAGACAGTTAATTAAATAAATAAAATGCACCTTCCTAGTGAATTACTGGAGGCAGCTGAGTCTGTGTTGGTGTCTAATTACTGCAAATGCTCCAGTTTGTTACTAGCAATAGTTTTCTGTGGAAGGGGCTAGGAGAGAAGGGGGTGGGGTGGTGTGGGAGGGGGCTCATTCCTTGGCAGCTGCAGGAGGGAACAGGCTGCTCCTTGTAGTATTTTTCTTCCTTTTCAGCAAAAAGAGTATTCGTTTAAGGCTTTACATGAAGACTTTGCTTAGAAGGTCTTTATTCATATTTAATTGCTAGGTTGCTGCAGCTCCCATCTTTAATTACCTTTTAAAAAGCAGGTTATGAAAATGCACTGACATTCTTTCTTTTTTGTTACTGCATAAATTATAGGCTTCTCAACTGCTCACTTGAAATCAGTTGAGCCTGCAAGAAGGGTAGGACAGGTTCCCATTGCTGACTTCTGGAAACCTCAGAGCTTATATTCACCTTGCACTACAGAGCAGGACAAAAATCCTCAACTGACATTACATGCACTATGCTTGAAGCCACATATCTGTGTTGGCCCTTCTTGTGAGCTGTGACTGTGTGGAGGGGCCTGTCTCATCAGCTAGGCTGAAATTGCACTACCATGGCTGTAGTGTTGCAGAGCCTGTGCTGCCTGGTGCTGCCAAGAGGGTCTCCAGCAGGGTGCTTTGCTATGCAGGGGAGGTGGGCCTTTGCCCTCTCCCATTGTTTCACCCATGTCTACCTTGGATTTTGCTTCCTGGACCTGCTCCTGGTAAATCTACTTCATCTGCAACTTTCCTTGTAGTTCAGTCCTGAATTTCTCAGCCCGAGCTTCTAATAATTTCCTCTCCTGCTTGCCAAGTGCTTTGCTATCCCTAACTGGTGCTTTTTCTGAGCTGAGAGCACTGGTTACTTTTATGGAAGGTGTGACAAAGTCCATCTCATTAAACATGTTTTCAGGCCAAGTTGTCAAGGTTGAAACAGCAATTTTTGTCCCCCTGCCCTGAATGCAGCCCTTAACCACCGCTTCCAGTCATGTGCTGGCTTTCACCAAGTAAGCTTGCTGCTGTTCTAATGCACAGGAATACATGCTGTCAAGTTTCAGGGGGGATGGGGGGTGGTATTAAATATCTGCAAAAGAAATACATGCAAAGGAACAGCTGTTGGGTTCTGCACCCAGGATGCTGGCCATAATCACTTCAAGCCATTTTCAGGACAGCCTGAAGAAGTCTCTCACACACTGCCTGGCCACTACAAGTCCAAGATGATATGTGCTGCTGGGACTTTGTCACAAGTTTCCATAAGTGGAGTATCTCCAGGGCACTTGTGTGTATGGCAGACCTCACTCAGAGGCCAAACAATGACAAGGCTAAAAGAGAGGACAGAAGAAGGATGAAAGGGCCGAGTCTGCCCAGCTTTGGCACATCAACTCTCTGGCTTATGGGCAGGGCTTTCCTGAGAATGGCCTCTGTTACCCCAAGCTGATGCCTTTCTCTTCTCTTGGCAGATAAAAGAGCTCTTTGTGAGTTTTGAGGACACTCCCTTGGGAGCAGCATCACTAGCCCAGGTACACAAAGCAGTGCTGCAGGATGGAAGAACGGTGGCAGTGAAAATCCAGCACCCCAAGGTCCAAGCTCAGAGCTCCAAGGATATTTTGGTCATGGAGGTAAAATTACATGTAGACTTCAAACTTACAGAATAATTGCCATTGAAGTGTATGGGGACCGCGTTAATCATGGTGTAAGCAGGTATAAAAACACCAACCTGTGCCTTTGAAACCTCCACAGAGATCAATGCTGTCTTTCAGGAATAATAAAGAAAATTGGTGAGGATTGCAGTGTTGGTGATTGTATGGACGGAGAGACTGAACAACAGGGTAAGAGGGAAGGAGGGCAGAAGGAGAAGACAGGTAAAGATGAATGACATTATAGTAAGTCCATATAAGACTTAAGAAATAGAGAGTGAGTCCTGAAGTCTCTTTTCAGCCTGTGTGCCCATTAACTGGTCTCAGGGACCATTTACTGATGTCTTATAGTCAGGCCTGTGTGGTCAAGGAAAATAATTGTTTATGATCAGCATGTTTTTCAATTAAGTTCTAGTGTGGATTCAATGGTGGATGAGGTTGCTATGATTCAGTTTTGTTTCTTGATCAGCTCCTTAATGCTGAACTGATTAACGGTAGAAACAGAACCACTGAAATACAGAGAGGGTCACCTAACAGGGGCAAATACACAAATGAGAGATTCAGCTAGGAAAAAAGTTTCAATGCCTAGCTCCTGTTCCTCTCCTGAATGTTACCATTCTTATTTCCCAGTGCAGTGCTGTAGCTTTTCCCAAGCTTCTAAGTCTAGCCATGGAAAGGAGGAAATGGAAATAAACTGCAACACTGTACTGCATTGCAACAGACAAAGATACCAGCAATATAGTATAGAACATGAAATGGGCAGGGCTGTGATGGAGGAGATGGGAAGGATTAGGTCTGTAAGTGGTAACACTAAAGTTTTTTGCTCTCCTAATAAAGCATATATATGTATATGTCTGTATATACAGTAAGTGCACATTAATTGGCAGACAGGTAAGTCCATGGTACTAAAGAGGGGAAGCTTAAGCTGAGGAGTTCTGATGAATGTTTGGAGATTATTGCTGATGCAGTAACACAGTTCTCCATCACAGAAGATCAGAAATCAAAGATTCTGCCAGCAACCTCTCAAAGTACCATGTAACTAAAGCTTCTTTAGGCAGTTAAAATACCTTGCTTTGAGCAATCCTGGCTAGTCTGCATAGAAGCACAGTTGGTTCCAGCTGGGACACATAAGTTTGCATCTGAGTATTTAATTTGAACTCATAGTGTAAGAAACTTTTGGGTTCCATAGAGATCTCCCAATAAGAATAGGATCTATCTGTTTCAGTGATGGTTTGAGAACACAGAACTCTTTGAACTGGCTTTGGGTCCAGCTGTAGATTTGAATTTGATTCAGATCTTCTCCAGGACTCACTGCAGTGGTCTGCCCAATGAATTTGCTTCTGTGAGTCATCATGTGCACAGCACTTCTCAGGAGGCTTATGACATCCTTCTCTCCCTCCCAAAACAAGGTGGCAGAAAAAGAGCAGTCAAGGATTAAGGATGAGCAGGTAATGAAAGAGTATGGGATCAGGGCAATAAGAGGATTCTGTGTGAATGACCCAAAACCTGTGTTTACCTCGGGACATTTGCCCTTCTAATAGTGAATATTACAGGAATATACCTCCTCACACCATGTTGCTGTGATTGCTGATTATACTGGTAACAGACATTTAAATAGATTATTTTAGAATTATTCCTGTCTTTTCTGGGTTTAAACTATTCATTCTGGGAAACTTTAAAATAAACCAATGTTTTTTCTTTTGGTAGTTTAGTACTGTCCTTCTTGTACAGGCAGTCTGGTTTACCATTCACATATTGTATATACACAGGTACAGGAAAGTAGCTCAGAATGTGACACATGCAGTTTTGTTTTTAAAAGGTCTTTTTTGTGGAGTCTTGGCTTTCATGCATCATTGTATCCTTGTGTGGGACTGTCTTTGTGTAGACTGCATAGAAAGCCAGATCACATGTGTTAATGTTCTGGTCCTTTAAGAATCAGACAGACGCTGCAGCTAGGTAAAGAGGTTAATTTAAATATTGACGGAGATGGTCTTATCTAGACACTGATGGGAAAGAATCTAAACAAGAAAAGGTAGCTGGAAAATTCCTAAATTCACTTGAGGTTTCATAGCATCAATGCTGACTTTAAAAACCAGTACAGCATCTGATAAACCCAGAGAGAGATACCTCTGCTCTCTATATATCAATAATTATTTCAAGACAATATGTTAGACAAGTGTCAGAAAAGGGACAGGCAAAATACTTGTTAGGATGTCCCTGCTGATGGTCAGGTTGGCAAATTGATTGAAAAGAGCATTTGAAGAAAGTGAAAAAAATGCATGAATTTTCTCACGTCAGGCACCAATGAAATAATCTTGGAGACTCCATGAAGTTTATGTTCATGTTCATGAAGATCGCTGGTTACATTTAATTTGGGTGACATAAATTTGAAAGGATTTATGCCTCTAGATATAACAGTAAAAAATACAATTCAATAGTGTCTGGAACCTGGTGATTACATTTTTAAAGGAACATTGAGTTTGCAACTGACATTTAGATAAGAGAAGTTGAGACGGGGTAGAGAACAAATGTTGTCACACAACTGAACAGGAGCAGTGATGGTTCATAAATTTATTTTTGTCATACATTTCAATGATAGCAGCTTCCTGTGTGTACTTTAAATATTCCTTCTGCAGTGCAGGAGTTCCCACCCCAGTGGTGGAGATTGAGAAGGGGAAACTGTGTAATAACACATACTTAAAAGCCTTTCTGTTTCCAGATGAATGTACAGAACAGGTGAAATAAGGACAGTAGAGTGCATTCTATTTTAATTTTTTTTTTTTACTTATTTTATTACTCAGTTAGTTAAAAACAGTCAAAAAATATTTTCCTTAAGGTGTGGTCCAAATTGTCAGCTTGTATAAATTTGCAGCTCTGGTAGAGAAGCTATCCCTTTGTATGAACAGAAAGCATACTTTGCTGCTGTGCAGCTTTGATTATGCCATCCAATTGTTGATTCACTCACTCCTTAAATGTTCCTTCAGTCAAATGTTTCAAGGAACTTTTGGCTGGGATTTTTCAAGGTGCTGTGTCCCTGAATATCTAATCTCTTTAAGAAGAAGAGCATTCCTTGTGGTGAATATATGATACTTGGGAAATACCTCCTCAGCCTTGTGAGAATGGCTTTGCCTGATGCTGAAGAGCAACTTGCCCTCTGCACTCCACCAGAAGTGTTATTTAAAGATCTGTAACCTACTTACTGTATCCAAACTCCACTGTCTTCTTTGAACTGCCCAGAGGATTTTCTGTTCTCAGCAGTGGAAGAAGTAACATCGAGGTGACAAATCTTACTTTAGATCTTCCTCGTCTGCATTATCTGAGAGCTGTTCAAATGAAGCCAAAGAATTACTTGTAGAATTATAGGACTCAGAAGATAATTGCTCCAGGGCAACACCCTTGGTGAGATCTGGCCATGTGGTCTTCTCCAGAGCTTTGTTCTCTTACTTCTAGGCAGCAGCCAGCTGGCCTCCCTTTGATGTGTACACCATCATTTAATTCCTAGATGTACCTTTCTCTGTGGAAATGTAGGCCAAAATTTTTGTTACATGACCAAGGCATGACACTGTGTTGTGATACTGCAGGAATCCTGAAAGCACGTGTTTTTCTTATCTGTAAGTTATATGGAATGATCCTGTCAAGACAGGATGTGTGTGTAGCTGTGTGGCTTTGAAGCCAGCATGCAACTGATTATCTGTTTCCTTGTTCTCAGGTTCTCCTCTTGGTTGTGAAGCAGATTTTTCCAGATTTTGAGTTCATGTGGCTGGTGGAAGAAGCTAAGAAGAATCTGCCTTTGGAGCTGGATTTTCTCAATGAAGGCAGAAATGCTGAGAAGGTTGCTCATATGCTCAAAAACTTTGACTTCCTGAAGGTGAGGAAACATATTTCTCTCCATGTATGTGCATTAATAGTCTCTGTGTCTTTTGCCCTTCATTCACCAAGTGGAGGAACCATAAGAAGGGAAAATGGAGTTCAGCCCCTCTGTGTTGTTCGTCCTAGACTGCTTTGCTAATACAGACCAGAAAATGCCCCGAGACATGCTTTCTTCTTGTTTGTTTCCTGCTGAATGCACTTTGTTGGGTCAGGAGTGGTGGCTTGGGACCAGCAGTCTCTGGAGCCTGCTGCTCATTTTCCCAAGTTTTCCTTCTGAATTTAATTTCCTTTTTCTTTCTGAACTTGTTCAGAGACTGTGAATTTGTCATTCTTTGCTGAGCCATCTGGTGGTACCTTTCCTTGGGCTCTATCTCAACTAAGGGCAAGAAATGGACATACAACAGAAAAGCTAGACTGAAACTGATGATGTCAAGTAATATTAAGGACATTTTGTATCTCATGAAGAAGCATATTCACATGAGTCCTTCCTACTGCAAAAAAACACATTCTCACCCTAGAATGGGACATTTATCCTTTTTACACATCTATGGCTAATGCATTCATGTTACTTCATACAGAAACCAAATTGCACTCATGTGTGGTCTTCCCCACTGATGCTTTTAGCCCACCTCCCCTGCCACATACTTAGGTCACTGATAAATGTCTCAAGTACAACCAGACATGTACACATCTCATTCTTGGAAAGACATAAGGCCACATCTTCAAAGTCACACATTCAGAAATCTTTTACTGACATACAAGAGACACAAACCTCCAGTGTGTGCTTTCTGGAAACACACATAGTGCCATGTTTGCAGTCACTGATGTGACTCTGCCCATGGCACATACAAAAAGGCAGCAAAAAACTCATCCTGTGGACCTTCCTGGATACACACTTCTAAATGAGCTTGTTCCCACTCCTGTTTATGCAGACATCCCAAGATAGCAGTGACAGAGGTCTGAAATAAGGTGAGTTTTTGTTAGGCTTTACAGGCTGATATATCCATTTTTCCTTGGTAAGGGATGTAATTCCCTGTTGCCTAATGCCAGCTTTGGAGCAGTCCTTTTGGAGCCCAGTAGCAGCAGTGGCCTTCCCATAGACACAGGCAGCTAAAAGCCACCACAGGGAAGGCCAGAGGCCAATGGTTCTGCTGAGTGGGCGGTCATCAGAAGTGATGCACCTTAGAGAGTGTGTCTGTTACAGCTGTAAGTAGCATACTGTGAAGTAAATCCCCATGGAGACGGCCAATCACCTCCTTGCTGGGGTAAGGAACTATCATGATATCAATATGTGTAACAATAACAAATGACTTGAGATGGCTAAATAATGGATCCTCCTGTCTGACCTGCCAATTCAGAGACGTGTTCATCACCTAAAAGCAACAGAAGAATTGGGCTTCTGTATCATAAATTTTCCTAAACATGCTAGAAAGCTGAGAAGTAGATTTTGTGCTGTGAACCTGTTTGAGCTTTTAAAGCCAGAGATAAATTATTTCCACACACAAGCATTAGAGCCAAACATCTGTGAGTAATTAAAAAAATCACTGAACAATTTGGCTATGATTGAGAGAGGCATCTCTGACAGCATGAATAGCACTTTACAAGCACACTGACTTGCCTGTGTAAATCCTGAGACAAGACTGAGTGTCATCAGAAGTGATCTAAGGGATCAGCGAGCTAGATGGGATGGGGAACTGTTAGTTTCAGAGTTAGCAGGCTTTCTCATCTAACTGCAAAGAATGGGCATACAGAGAAGCTAAGAAGGCTGTGAGTGTCTGAATCTCCCTTGCTCATAGTGGATCTATGGCATCAAAGTCTAAGCAAGGTTCACACGCAAAGTATACCGGGGTGTTGAATGACAGGACTGAGGGACATTGAAATTACTCAGCAAAGGAGCCTTTGATCTAAAGTGGCACACACATGGTAAAGTAGAAGTGGTCTCTCTAGGACAGGAGCAGGAGGAAAGCAGATAATTTGTAAGGGATTGGGATATTGTCAATAGTTAAAAGCAGCAAATGCTTCTTGTTCAGGAGCTATAATGAGCTACAGTGGCCTGCCTGGTCATCCCCTGGTTTTGGTCAGTTGATGGACAACACCTCTTACCTCTTCCTGTCCTGCCCTAAGGTGCTAGTCCTGAGTCCATGGCTGAGTCAGGAGGGTGAGGAGAGGGTGGGGTGAGGAGAGGGAATTGTACAGCTGACTTACTATTTGCATGATCCAAAATTATTATGTCTGTTACAGTAATGGGGAGCACAGTAATGAGAGCAGAGCTCCCTTATGTCTTTGCTAAAATGTACATGTGTGGCTTCACCTATGTGCAAAAGCAGATTTGGGTAGATTGAGGGTTGGTCAGCACAGTAACATGAGGAATTTTGAAAGGGAATTCAGCAAAATAGCTCATGACAATAGGGACTTCAGCATGGGAGAAATGTGTCTGGAGAGGAAGGCTGGAAAATGGGGAGCCAGCCTGAGCAACACTTTTGTCACTGCCTCCCTGGATGACACCTGACCTCTTCTCTTGTACCTCACTCAGCTTGATCTACCACAGCTTGAATGAAAACTGCTTTGGCATTTTACACTCATTACTGTGTTGTTGGCAATAAGATAATTAAGGGTCTCACAGGGTTTCTGTGACAAGTCCCTTATTTGTGACACTCGATTTTTCTCCCAGTTCAATTGCAGATGGCCTAAGTATGCAGGGTTTGTCAGCTCAAAGGCATTCATGTTCCAAGGGGCACCGCGAAGATACAATTTATGACGATGGCTTATAATTTTTAAAGCTGCGTAAGTGGACCCTGTGCATAGCAAACAAGATGGAGCTCCTGTCTAAAGGAGCTGAGTGGATGATTCAGAAACTTGCAATAGGTACTAGTTAAACATCCCAGCTAGAGGAGCTTACCAGCTAGAGCAGGTAAGAAAGGTATCTCAGACATCACTGGGAAGGGAGGTGGTCAGAATCCTGTAGAGCATGGTCAGAAATGTTACATGAGATCAGATCCTACTGTAGTTGAATTAGTGTATTATCCTTCTATACATTGCTGCTGTCCTGTGGAAGAGGCTGATAGGTGGATTTACCTCCCTTGTGCTCATCAAAAAGGCCAAGTCCTCGCTTCAGCTGCTTCCATTTTTACTCCTTTTCTGGAACTTGTGTAATATATTCTCCATCCTTTCCCAAGCTATTGCCTGACCTAACCCATCTGTTTCTGTTTCAGGTCCCCAGGATCTACTGGGATCTCTCCACAAGGCGTGTCCTTCTCATGGAGTTTATGGAAGGGGGACAAGTGAATGACAGGGCCTATATGGAGAGGAATGGCATCAACGTCAATGAGGTAGTTTCTCAGCCATCTTTGAAATAGGCGTGCTGAGCAATGCAAAACTGATTTTGACCTTGATGCACAATGGTGGCTCAAAGGACAGGATGGGGTGGCACAGAAGAATAAGTACACACAGATGTGAACAGAACAATCAATCTGAGAGATCTCAGTTCTTTGGAAAAGTACATAATCCCTTTTGAGGACTACTTCTCTGTAGGCTGCAGAGCTAGAAAGATCTTCAAGGAGACATAGGGAAAGATGACCATGCTCTTGCATTAAAGACACTCATGGTTTGTTCCAAGATGGAAGTTCCTGTTACCCTAAAGGAACAAATTCAGTTTTTGATTATTTTTGTCTCATGGACTTATTATATTAATCTCTCTTTATTAAGAGAGATTTGGAAAGTTTTGTCTGTAGCAAAATGTGGTCAGCTCCATTCATTTGGACAAGTGAGAGAGTTGTTTCTTTGAGAGTTTATCCTATACTTCTGATATAGGCAGAGGTGAAATCTAGCCCACATGCTCATATAGAATAATGAATATTCCTCAAGTCTTTGGAGTCAGAAGGGCTTGTTTTGATGCATTTATGGAAGGGCTCTTGAGTAATATGTATTAAGATTTTGAGGTGGGATTCCTCATCTCAGACAGCAGATCCATTTTGAGATCGAGGTAGTTAGCCTAGTGTAGCTCCCTGGGATTTTTGTTGAATTTTATCAGACTGCTGGAGATAGCACAGTTATAGAGAAACAGCTAATTTAATTTTTTCTAACTTGCAGAGGCTTTTGCTTGTGATAGGAGCAATGTAGAGTGAAAATTTCTGCTAATTTTTTTTTTTATCCATGCCTTTGGGAAGTTTGTTTTGTGATGACTTGGCTCAATACATCCATGCAGCAGTGAAATAACGTATTTTTCTGAATCTGAGCTAGTCTCTAAATAATAGCTAAGCAGTAATTTTTAAAAAGTTGTCAACAGACTTCTACTGCCAAGTATAAGCCTCAGAGAGTTTCAGCCACCAATCAGTTAGAGGATGTTACTCAGCTCAGTGGTAGGACTGAATTTTCTTTCTTCCTTTTCTCTCCCCACCACCTGAAATTAATGATTAACTTTTATTGATTGCTAACAAAGCAAGGTAGAAAGGAGGGAATACCGAGCCAGTCAGAATCATATGATGGGAAAAGAGATCAGTTATTATGGCCATAGTAAGATGAGGTAGGGGCAGTGCACACCCCAGACTTCTCCTGTGGCAAGGTGCAGCAGATGGGAAAAAATATTGCTTAGGTTAATAATTGCTTGCTGCTGTTCCCCTGGGTAAAGGACTGCATGACATAGTTGGGAGATGAACAAAAGGTAGCAGACCCTGAAAGGAGCATGAGGAGGGGGTGGCAACCCAGGTTTCAAAACTGTTATCTGGCTTATAATATGACAGCAATCTTGGCTTTCAAGAGATGCATTAGCTCCCTATAAATCACCTGAATATATTTATTTTAACAATCCCTCTGTCATTTTACTCCATTTTGTTTTACGGTGTGGAGGAAGAGGAGTCTTCACTAAGCAGGATTTCTTTTTTGTGACAATGCAGCCTTGAAAAGCAAGCTGAGCCTCTCTTCTCTAAATGGAAAGGATCCCTGAGGTGAAAGCTCCCTTCAAACCAGGTTACTGACATTTACTTAATACCGTCTGTAGCAGGATTATCATTAAAGCTGCCCAAAAGCACATTAATCTCTCTGGATCCGTCCAAGTGCTGGATTGTAATGGCATTTAATCAGAGAAGGCTTTGATTTCTAAAGACAAGTGCAAACATTGAAATATCTGCCTGTGGAACAGTTACTTATTCATGTTCAAGTGTACTTGTACACTGTAGTGTAGCTGAGGAGGAACATGCAACTGGGATATTGACAGTGACAGGGAAATCTGAAGAGAGGAGTTACCAAGAATGAGCTGGCAAGAATTTTAAGGGAAGATTAGAACATGGCAGGGCTAAGAAGGGGGCATCTGGAAACAGGGCTCTTTCTGCTTTAAAACACAATAACGTTTGCAGTCTTGGTTAGGAAGGTATATTTGAAAGAAGTGGGTAGAGCATGGAAGAGAGAAAAATTAGACTGAGGGGCTCTCAAGGGGTTTGTAGCATACTGTAAACAGGAGGAAAAGAAGGGCAGCAAGGCTACTTAGAGCATGGATTTTTAAAGAAGATTCCAAATGACACAAACATTCCTTTTGTATCCATTCTGATTATACGTGATTATTTTGTATTTGTATACAAATCTTAACAATATCTTTGGTCTGCCACATGGGCTCTCTGTGTCCTCTTCGTGAGCTCTCTGCCTGACTCTGCAGAGGCTGCTGTGTCAGCTGGCTCTAGGACCTGTGGAGCTTTCAGATGTGCTCATGGTATATGCTGTATAGCCTCAAACTAACCAGCCAGCTCAGGTAGCCAAGTGAAGAGTCCCTGTGATCAGTCTGATTTGCTTTTGAGTTAGGGAATGGAAAAGATGCCATGTACTTCAGCTTGCTAAGAGCCTGGTCACAAGCCATGGTTGATTCAGAAGTCAGAAAAGTGTTTTGTCCAGCTGAGAATTGAAAGCAAACAGCTAAGGTACTTAAGATGAGCTAATGTGTGCAATTATTGCCATCTGTTACTCCATCCTACTGTGTTGTTTTTCTTCTTTCTGTTACTAAGTGGATTCTTCATTGAAACAGTATCTCATAGCTCGATAAAGAGCCCAGTACCTTCCTCTAGCTGATGGCTTTGCAACTTGAAATACGCTTTCAGCGTGGGATTTACCCTTCTGCCAAGAGTCAGAAGCTGTAGCTCTGTAGCTGCTAAAATTTAAGTGGGATTTCCCAGGGTGGGATCCTTTTGTCAGCAGTGGAAACCTCTCATGTCTCAAGTATTTGTGCTTATAACACTCAAGTGTTAGATTAAGCAGAGCATAGAGAAGAACACTGTTTCTAGAGAAAATGGCTATTCTTGCTCTTTGCACTTACTTAGTCTGGGGAGAGGTTTCTTTGCAGATTCTCTTACATTTCATCTTGTCTGAAGCTTAGTGAAATTCACAAGGCACTGATAAGCAGGAGTAGTGACCTCTGGTATTTTCAGCTTTTGAACTGTGCACAGACACCAGATAAAAGAGTTAAATTATACACAGACCTGTTTCTTACTGAAAGTTGGTATTGAGCATTGATGTCAATCAATTGCTTAAGACTCAACAAGATGCTTTACATTAAATCCAACAAAATACAACTGCATTTAAAACCAAGGGAAATTATCCCCATGGTCATTTTGGGTCTGACAGTGATGCAAGAAACAATAAAAAGCCAATGACTAGCTTCTCTAGCTGTACCCTTTTGAGAATCTGTGTAAACTTGATGAGTCCCGCAGTTCCCTGGGTGGGTGAATCAGAGTATTTCTCCCCACTTACATGCCGTGGAAGATGGAGCATTGAGCATGAAAATAATTTCCTGAGTCCCCAGCAGAGAATACAGGGCATGCTGGGAGTGCACTCCAGGAGTCCTAACAAGTATTCCTGTATCTTCAGAATATCAAGTGTCTTCAGACATCATCTTGCTGTGATGCTAGATAGTAATAGATGCTGCATAGTAAAGTATTGCCTAACAGAGCACTTTTGATCCTCACAAGTGGATCACAGAGTGTGAAATCAGATCTCTTGTGTGACCACCCTAATCTGATCTACTATGGATCAGAGCCATTTCAAAGCAGAGGCAGAGAAAGCTTCAAATTGTGGCTATTCTCCGTCTACACCCTTTTTAAATTTGACACCAGTTTAATTGGCCAGAATTGCCCTAGCAGGATTAAGCAAAACCTTAGACAATGGCTGTAATAACAATGAAAGCAAGCAAAAACCCAATACAGTCTTCAATCCAATTAACCTTCGATTAAGGTTCCAAAATCAATGCTATTATTTTGGCCGGAGGAGGTAATATTGAGCCCTGAGAAATGAGCTGCACAACGACCTTTACTTTTAATGAGATCAATAGAAGTTAGTGTCGCCATCTCTTAAAATAATTGGCAAATATTACAGCCAAATTAAGGCCAGAGACTAGTATCTGCTCCTGATCTAAAGAGACAGTCACAGATGGAAGTGGGATGGGAAGGGATGATGCCCTATCAGGCAGTTTCATCTAGGACTTATCAGGGGCAGGCAATGAGATCATCTCTACAGGACCATGACACAGTTTTCTTCTTTTTCTTTTTCTTTTTCTTTTTCTTTTTCTTTTTCTTTTTCTTTTTCTTTTTCTTTTTCTTTTTCTTTTTCTTTTTCTTTTTCTTTTTCTT